TTTTTTTTATTTTTATGGTATATCAAAAAGTGTATATTTTTTAAATGTGATTGTTAGTACATTTTACCAGTTTTTACCATACTTTCAAAACAAAAATTTAAAACAAAATGTGTTTTACTGAGAAAAAACAAGATTTGGTTTTTAAAAAACCTTTTTCCAAAAGGTACATCTGGAAAAAGGAGTCGTCGTCTTATATTCGGGCCAATACGGTAGTTGCAGTACAAGCTAAAAATTTTGATGTAAACTAGTTTACTACTGTCAAAGTTTACTACTGTTATACTTAAAGTATACTTAAAAGTATACTTAGAAAGTGGGCCAATTTAGTCCCAAGGAGTATTGAAATAGTACACTTACAAGTATACTACTAGTACACTGGTGTTTGTATACTTACTACATAAAGTATACTTAAAAATATACTTGAACTTTACTTAAGTATACTTACTAAAATAAACTTGAAGTATACTACTTTTTGGTAAGGGTTACCATGATACCAAGAAAGAAAAAATGTCTAATTCAAAAGCTAAAATGTGAATGTGAATTAGAAGCGCAATAAGTTGCCTGGTCACCTTACCTGAAGCACGACTCGTGTCAATTACAATTCCAAAACTTTTCTCATCTCCTCTATGTTACAGAATAACAGTACTTCCTCTTTGGCTGTGAACATTATTTCACTGTTTATTACAGTCGCAAATATTCCTCATGAGCTCCAAACACGCAGTTGTTTTAGTTGAGTGCCTGCACTTTCCTGAGGCATTGTCTTCCAGAAAGCTGCATCCTAGTAACCATAAGCCGTCGCTCCGGTAGAACGGCATATGGAGACGTCACACTGGATATTCGTCAATTTATTCACTCCAGCGAGTTCTTTTAGAAGCGTAGTTACGCGCAGACGCCGAGAAGAAATAAAGGAGAAGATTTGGCAGCACTCGAGCGGATCTTCGTCGCGCAGCAGCGCAGGATCTGAGCTCTAGCTGGTGTAAGTGATCGCTGAGCATTGTGACACAGCCCTTTCACCTCTGTCACTGTGAGGCTCATATCTGTGTGCGCTGGCTGTGCACTGGGGCTCTATTATATATAATGTTACATTACAATTATTTATTGGCCCCTCTATATTGGAGTTTTCCAAAGAGGGTTCAAGTTTTAACCCCAGTGGGCCGCCAGGGGGTGCTAGTTCACGGAAAATTTCATGTAAGAAGCTTGCTTTGGTCTAATATAGTAAGCGGTACACAATTATTATTATTTTTTATCATTAAAAAATTTACCGATAATTCTAACCCTAACCATGCCCTTGCTCCTAAACCTAGCTATACCTCAAAATGTGGGAATTTTCCAGAACAGCATATTTGCATAGTAAATCCATAGTCTTATGTATATTTACTGTAATGTTAGTACATATTATTTCACCTAATATAAAGTGTGATTGTCTTTATAATTATATTTATGTATAATATATAATATAATATTACACAATAGTAAACAAATGTCCAGGAGAGTACCACAAAGCATGCCTGTGCATTCCTCTGATTGCAAACAAGGCGCAGCGCATCCGGGTTCTAGTCTCTTTCATCAGCAGCAGCACACGCATGCGTCATGGTACTTTCCTGAATGCAGAGCGGAGACTGACACAGAAGGGAAGAACTGTTGAATTAAGTGGTTATTTTTGTTTTCTTTGTGCACAAAAAGTATTCTCATAGTTTCATAACATTACGGTTGAACCACTGATGTTACATGGGCTATTTTAACATGTCCCTACTACCTTTCTGGACCTTGAACGTGGTAGTTCCCTCGCTGTCTATGGAGGGTCAGAAAGCTCCCAGATTTGATCAAAAAATATCGTCATTTGTGTTCCAAAGATGAAGGCAAGGTCTTACTGGTTTGGAACAACGAGGGTGAGTAATTAATGATAGAATTTTCATTTTTGAGTGAACTATCCCTTTTTACTAACAATTTAATTTCAGTAGATAGCTCTACAAGTGAATTCTTACTAAGAATCAAATGGTACTTATAGAGAATTAAATCTCTGATTTGTGTTGTTTAGTTACTTACTAAATATATAATTTTTATAATCACTAAATAGTTAATCATAGGTTAAAAATCTAGGTCTAGCAGAGTTGAAGAAATTTCCAGTAAGCCCTAGCTTTGACACTTTGGTGAGTATGAAAATAATCGCACACAGGTTCTGAGACTGCATGTCTTCAGATTCACACTGCAGTTTGAGTTTGTGGGCTGTAGAAGTGTGTGCTGGTGCAAGCACTCTCTCAGGTTCAGAGCCTGGTTGTTTGGCTGTACAAACACACACAAATGGTGCTGGACTGAATGCGACCCTGTCCCACAGTAACCTCAGGGAAGATTAACGTATTACATCCATATATAGCTATAGCGACGGATGTATTGTTTAGAAAACAGAAGATGCTTCTGTTTTTTTCTTTTTTTTAATTCTGAATTTCTGAAAAGAAGATGCAGACCTATATGTCAAGAAAACGTAGAAAATATTTAGCAGTAAATCTAATAGTTTCTAAAGAGGTTAAAACACTTCATCTTAAAGACTGTCTCTATGCATGCCTGAAAATGGTGATGTTAAATATCAATAAAATAGCAGTTGTTAAATAACAGGTACTTGGTATTGCAAGAATTTATTGTTAAAGGGGTCATATGATGCGATTTCAAGTTTTCCTTTCTCTTTGGAGTGTTACAAGCTGATTGTGCATAGATAAGATCCCTGAAGTTGCAAAGACTAAAGTCTCAAAACCAAAGAGATATTCTTTATCAAAGTTAAGACTCTGCCAGCATGTCAACATATTCTGTTACACCAAATACACAAAATAATGATCTCTAAAAAAGCATCATATGACCCCTTTAAGACTTCAAACCAGCAGACAATTTCACTGCTCTCATTTGGTCCACAAGAGGGGGCCAGAACAGTGCTTTGCATAATGTTTATTGCTTTATGAAAATCCATGATGGAATTATTTTCCAGCACAGTATACTACACCGTAGATTCCCTTTGACTCAGTGTATTTTCCTAGGGCAGTGAGATTATCTGAGAACATGCAAATAACTGGTTGCTATAGTGTCTTGTGCAGACTGATAATTTAAATATAATTCTGTTTAGCTCTTTCGGTACAGAGATGGCATTGTTATTTAAAAAACTCCCAATGCCTGCTCGATCCAGCCAAATGTGTATTTGGATCACATGTGTCTAACATTTCAGTTTCACATCTATTTAGCTGCTTCAAAACGTTTAATACAGACGCCAGAAAATAAACAGCAGAGTGGACATCAGCTCACCGCATGACATTAATGTGGCCTTGATAACAGTGCTCTGTTGTGCAGCTCGTCAGGTTCGGTTTGGGAGTGTGTTTATGCAATAGAGAGCATTCCAGTGTGTCTCTCATCATCTTACCTTGGCACGTTTGACAGAAGGTGTGTGGTTAGTTTGGCCAGACGTTAGTGTCATGCCCATGTTATTTACCTGTCTGTCCTTTCACTGTATGTGTGTGTGTGTGTCTTCCAGAAGCTGCTAAGGGCTTCCTGGCCAGTATAAGAGAAGTGCTGTGTGAGCAACAGATTTCAGAGAGTCTGTTAGCCTCATTTCCTGGGCGGAGAGCTTTCGGCTCTAGTGAAGCAACGGCAACCTGAAAGGAGGGCGAGTGAGTGAACTTGAGTGGGAGAGAGAAGTTATTGCAATGTAAAGCTCTCACAAATCACTTTGTCACCAGCAAGCTCTGACAAGCGAGGAGAGGGAGTGCGTTACAAGAGGGAGCTAATAAAAAGAGTGCTGTACGAGAGAGAAGGAGGGTCTGAAGGACTTTTTTTTACTCCAGACTGAGGTCAAAAGGCATAAAAGTGGACAAACAGAAAAGAACAAAGGCAAGACGGGAAGGGAAAAGGACATTGGCTGTCACTGCTGCGCTTCACGCGTTTACTGCCTGGCTACTCATGGACGGTTCATTTGTTTCACTCGTTTTGTTTACTCCATCTGTCACTCGAGACTCGTGGGTTGGACGTGGTTAGTTTGATTTTCCTGACACATTACATCACTGGTCAGGGTATTTTCCGAGAGGATCTGTTTTCCTTTCAATTCCTCTCAGTGAAATGTGTGTGAGTGTGTGTCGGGGTTGGGGGGGAAGCAGTGGCTGTCACTGCTGCGCTTCACGCGTTTACTGCCTGGCTACTCATGGACGGTTCATTTGTTTCACTCGTTTTGTTTACTCCATCTGTCACTCGAGACTCGTGGGTTGGACGTGGTTAGTTTGATTTTCCTGACACATTACATCACCGGGGCCAAAACGTCAGGGTATTTTCCGAGAGGATCTGTTTTCCTTTCAATTCCTCTCAGTGAAATGTGTGTGAGTGTGTGTCGGGGTGGGGGGGGGACCAGTGTGTTTGGTTAGCCGTGTCAATGGATCTTTCCACTTGTCTTTGTAGTGGGAAAAGCTTGTTTGAAGAGAAAACGAGCTTGTAGCCCTTAAAAAGTCTTCTACAAAACACTGTTACTTATTTTGACTGATAACTTGAGAAGTCTTTGCTCTGTATAGAGTTATTCAAACTTAAAGCTGGACTCGTCCCTTTGTCTCGTTATAAATGCAGGATGCAGCTGGATGGGGTTGTCTGGTTTAGCCCAATAGTTAACAGGGCTTCTTTAGTGGTTTTCGTGTGAGATGACAAAACATCGACTGAAGCATCAAGACCAGAGAAGCTCAGAGGGGTGGAAAGCTTTGAGCAGAGAGGAAAGTTAGTGAGCAAACACGCTTACAGACGTGTCATTGTATCTGGACCTCTGCGTGTTTTCACAGCGGGAACTATCCAAGACCAGAGGAGAGAAAAAGAGTCAGTCCAGACGCATGGACTCACACAAGCATTTCTGTGTGCGACTGCCAGCAGTGAGCCGGCGATAAAGTTGTGCCGATAGGAGAAAAGCTTGTGTTTGGGAATTTTTTACTGAAATTTATGCTTGGACGCATATGTAAAAGTGCATGTCAGTGCTTGGCGGCGTTCAGGTCTTTGTGTGCATCTAAGCTTGTTTATGTGGGAGAGTTGTTGTTCCATTTGGCCAACCTGCACCTGGATGGACCTCTGAAACAGGTGAGGCATCAGGAATTTCCCTTATTAGATATCAGCTGTTCTGTTGGCTTCATTATTCAAGGTGCTTTCCAGAATCATCATCGGGTAGCATCACCTCCATAATAACAACACTGCCGTGTCTGTTTGATCCGAACGCTCTGCATCAATCACAGACTCTTGGTGAGCCTCTCTCTCCTTACCTAAAGACAGTTTGCTCTCAGATTTGGCACCATGAGGTTGCTTTGCTTGGTACTGACGGCCCTGTGCATGGTGGCTAGAACGGGAAGCATGTCCACGTGCAAAACTCTGGACCTGGAGGTGGTGAAGAAGAAACGGATTGAGGCCATCCGCGGTCAGATCCTCAGCAAACTGCGCATGGCCAAAGAGCCCGAATCGGAGATAGACGGTGATGGACAGAAGATCCCAGATACCATGATTTCTCTGTACAACAGCACTGTTGAACTGAGTGAAGAAATGAAGATGAAGCCCGTTTCTGTGCAGGCTGACGATGAAGATTACTTTGGCAAGGAGGTGCACAAGTTCGTCATCCGGCAAGGTAAGAAGTGTCCATCTTTAGAGACAATTTAACATCATGTCCTATTCATGTCGGCATTCTGCGGTGAAATATTTTTATATAATAATCACTTTATAACTCTAATTATAATTGACAGCTGTATAATTGATCTATTTCCTAGGCAATGATTTTCTGCATGTCTGTGCTAGTCTCATGGTCATCCGGCAAGGTAAGAAGTGTCCATCTTTAGAGACAATTTAACATGTCCTATTCATGTCGACATTCTGCGGTGAAATATTTTTATATTATAATCACTTTATAACTATAATTATAATTGACAGCTGTAGAATTGATCTATTTCCTAGGCAGCGATTTTCTGCATGTCTGTGCTAGTCTCATGTCTCTCATTTCATTTTACAGTTTATTTTACATAGTTAAATAAGGTGAACTCACACCAAAATTACGTCATTTATTTACTAATGTAAAACATGACAAATATTGCCCTATATCAAGAGTGACTCTGCCATATGTTACCTATAAGATGATATAAATAAGATGAAAATTTTTATGTAATATTATATGCAGCAATATATATATATATATATATATATATATAATGTGTGTATATGCATCTTTATTAAAACACATCTGTATGTTTACATTTTAATGTCTGTATCTTTTAGATTTACTTATATAACATCAACATGTATTGATGATTTTAGGATATATACATCAGCATGTCCACAAATAAATCACACACAGTACATACACACATACATATTTATATGGGCTATGAAATTGTTTTAATTTCTAATAGGTTTCATATGTGTTTTAACTTCTTGTGACAGTATAGTTCATTTACATAAATGTAACGCATATGCTGATTTAGCAAGAAGCCATTTAATTAAGTGGAATATACAGTCATCCAGTCATTACAAAGGTTTAATCTTTTATTTCTTTTATATATTTTTCTTTACTGAAATATTAGTGTCGTTCAAGTATCACAAGTCTTGTTTCTTTAGCTCTGTGAAAAGCAGACCAACATGTCCAGTTCAGATAATTAATGTTAGGTTCTCTTAATGCTGTAACAACTCGTATGTGATGAATCGTGATCTCATAGCTTTGTGTTACGTGTTCCCCTAAAAACCCCTCATGCATTCACTCCAGATCCCCTCATGTAGCCGCTAGGGGTGCTAGGCAGCATTTCATCCCATTTCATCGTTGCCCTCAGACTATCTGTGGTATTTTAATAGGCTAGTTGTTTTTGCTGTTGGCTTCATGTGTTAGATTGTTATAGATTGTTAAACCCGAAGCTTTAACAACAGGTTCTTGCTAGGGGGTGAACATTTTGAGCACACTTCTGTCTGTTCATTCTGAACAATCAGTTTGTTTGATTGCTCTGATCAAGCTGGGGGGGGCAACAAGTTGTCTTGTACTTGTTAGATCTCTTGTTAATACATCTGTTTTTTGATGGGGAAATAACTTTACATTTGATGCTTACCACCCACTTGCTTTCATCCCTCACACTCTTTACCTCATTTTACCACTTCAAACACTTCAGACATAAACATCATGCCTGTGATCCGATACGCGTGGTGAATAAAGACCTCCGTGGAGATGGGGCTTGCTCGAAGGATGAAAACCAAGGACAAAGAGAAACTGTTGATAAGGGTAGACGAGTCAGATCCGCTGTCCTTCTCACTAATTCTGTTTTGTTTTTTTTGTGTGTATTCCTCTGGGGTTAGGGGCTTTCCTGTAACTGAGACGTCTATTTTGTGTCTCTTACTGGTTCTGTCTTTTTGCTCTATTTTTGACAGGCCCATTTGACAGCAGAGAGGGTTGCTTGTTTCTGAGGTGTGATTAAGATTTAGAGGAAATGGTCCCAAATAGCAATGTTGAATTCCCCCTTTTGCGGTTTCTGTCATGGGACAAAAGTCCTCTTTATGTTCTTGTGTTTGTGTAAGGCTTCTTACATTTGTTTAAGGTGGAATACATTTTAATAAAAAAGTCCTGATGCAAGTGCAAGGCCTCCCACGCTCAGTATTTACAGTCTGTAGTACTGTAGTAATTGCTTACTTTTGCAAGACTACGTTACACAAGAATTAACTGGTGGACAGTATGTGAAGCAATTCCAAGGCTGGAGCCACAAATGTAAATGAATAATTAGATTTTTACATTTGCTGAAGAAATCTGTGTTTACACTTCATTTTGATAATCCACGTTAAACTTAAAGGAACTTTGCATCTACATGTTAACTAACGCTCATTAGAGTATTAGTAGGCTGTGAGGTTACGGTTACCCCATGCTTAAACCAAGCAAATATCACGCACTGACACCTCTCCGGTCTCTGTGTTGACAGAGATTGGCAGTGAGGCATTTCCTTCAGCCTGAGGCTAATAATTTCACTTTTGGTGTGAAAGAGCCTTTGCAGGTTCCAAAAATATAACCTTTGGGTTTCTGATATTAAAAACAAAGGAGGCAAACCCAGCCCCGGTGACAAAAAGTAATGTAATGCATCACTTTTCATAAAAGTAACTAAGTAGCGCAATTAGTTACTTTTTTATGGAGTAGCACAATATTGTAATTCATTTCTTTCAAAGTAACTTTCTCCAACAGGTTTTGATATCTGGATGGAATCATAGTCTGAAGGTAAAGAAAAAAAAATCTATGAAATCTGTCAACTCAAACTTGCAGACTGACTCTGACTTTTGGCAACTAGCATCAGCTTGTCCAGACTGTAAATCGGGCCAAAAATCTAGGCAAAAGTGGTGTAATGTATTCCAGCCTGTATATGGAAAAATATATTAAAGATCAAGGTTTGTTCTAATAGTATACATAACTATGCTTGCCTTAGGAAACACCAATAATCGTTTATATTGTGGATTTTTATTGTTGCAATACTTTTAAATGCATTCAAGAAAGCAGAACAATCCTCTTGTAATCCTTGTTGAACTCAGATAGAAAAACATCATGTGCTTAGTGTTGTCCATTTTGAAATAGAACCACTACTTTTAGCAATAAGAGGGTGTTGAAATATTTTTCAGGATTGCAGACTTGTTTTTGTAGGATTATGGATTGCTGTCATTGTCTAATGTGGCGTTCAGGGTTCTTTCCATTATGTTTTCGTTCAGTAGCATAGATGTTTAACTTGCTACAATGCCGATTTTGCCACATTGTATTTGATTTGGAACATTTATTTTTACCTTATGGCTTGCTAGACTCAATAGTATCTGTTAGCTGAAGGTAGATGAAAGAGATGAAGAAAAAGATATTGTTGACTGTGCAGTTGTGTATTCATAAATTACGCTGTCAAATCAAGAGTGCTCAATTTACAGCCATGCCCTGCAGCAATGCCCAAGTTTCCATGTCCTTCTTCAGGCCAAACAGTCTGTTCTACTGCATGTGTGCTATTTTTCATTTCATGTTATCACATGTCAGAGATTGTGCTGACTGCACAGCTCATCTGCCGGGAAAGTGTGTCATGTCTCAATGTGATTGGAGCAGCACAGATAGTCGAGGAAGCAGAGAGCTATGATTCTATGGATGGCGATAGTAAGAGGAGAGGAGTGTAAAGCGTGTGTTTTGTAGAGGCAGATTTTTAAGCCTGCTGGAATCTGGTTGCACCCATTACTAATGATAGGCCTGTCTCAGTGCTTGTTAGGACAGCTGTCCTGGGCTTACCCGTTATCACATGTCAGAGATTGTGCTGACTGCACAGCTCATCTGCCGGGAAAGTGTGTCATGTCTCAATATGATTGGAGCAGCACAGATAGTCAAGGAAGCAGAGAGCTATGATTCTATGGATGGCGATAGTAAGAGGAGAGGAGTGTAAAGCGTGTGTTTTGTAGAGGGAGATTTTTAAGCCTGCTGGAATCTGGTTGCACCCATTACTAATGATAGGCCTGTCTCAGTGCCTGTTAGGACAGCTGTTATGTTTGCCTTAGGAAACACCAATAATCGTTTATATTGCGGATTTTTATTGTTGCAATACTTTTAAATGCATTCAAGAAAGCAGAACAATCCTCTTGTAATCCTTGTTGAACTCAGATAGAAAAACATCATGTGCTTAGTGTTGTCCATTTTGAAATAGAACCACTACTTTTAGCAATAAGAGGGTGTTGAAATATTTTTCAGGATTGCAGACTTGTTTTTGTAGGATTATGGATTGCTGTCATTGTCTAATGTGGCGTTCAGGGTTCTTTCCATTATGTTTTCGTTCAGTAGCATAGATGTTTAACTTGCGCAGAGAGCTATGATTCTATGGATGGCGATAGTAAGAGGAGAGGAGTGTAAAGCGTGTGTTTTGTAGAGGCAGATTTTTAAGCCTGCTGGAATCTGGTTGCACCCATTACTAATGATAGGCCTGTCTCAGTGCCTGTTAGGACAGCTGTCCTGGGTTTACCTGAGCGCCAGCCTGCATAAACACACACAGAAATACCTCTCCACCCTCATCTGATCCACCATACACCATCAACAAAGAGCTGTGCCTTCAGTCCTTGACACCTTTTATATATGACCACAGGTGTTGATGCATGGGACCCATTATAAAATAGTTTCCAAATCAATGTGATATATCCCTCAACAGTGAATAGAACATGTCCAACATGTACAAGCTAAACTATAAAAATCATTATAGCTATTGGATAAATCTTATGAAAGCATGTGGGTCACATTTCAACCCAAAACCACAAGAAAAGAAAATAAATTATATATATAGTACTCTCACATTACTGTTATTTATACACAGACTGATGAGAACGGGTTGGGATGTTTTACCATGTGGTTATTTATTAAGACAATACAACAAATACTACAGTACATTGCTTATTTTTTATACATATTATTAGTAATATAATTAAATAGTTCTCTCTCTGTTTATAACCAAGCTAATTAGAAAGTATTATTGCATATCCAGGTCTCATTTCACTCTAAAAAAGATGGTAGTAGTAGTAACACTTTAGATCATGGAACACTATTCACTATTAACTAGTTGCTTTTTAGTATGCATAGCCTATTATTATTGTCTGTTTATCAGTACTTATAAAGCACATATTTATGGCTTATTCTTACCATATTCAACATCCATTAATCCTACACCATACCTAAACCTAACAAGTACATTTCTTACTCAATAAGCAGCCAATTAGGAGTTTACTTAGGGAAAACTCTTAGTTAACAGTGAATCGAAAGTGTTACTGAAGATAGTAGCTGCGTGCAGATGGATGGTTAGTGGAATTAACCACAGAGAATATCCCACCCATCCTCCTGCAGATATCCAGCAAAGTCTGATGTATCTCAATCATGCCATAATCTGCTCTCAGACTGTCACGACGCTGAACTCCAGCGCAGGAAGTCCCCTCTCTGACAAACTTTGCATTTAAATGTCAAGCTTTAAATGTCAAAAATAATGTCTTGTTTTAATGTCATGTGTAGAGTCGGTGTAGTTGGTTTCCTGCATAACGTGTGATATATAGCTGCAAAATTACTAAAAAGAAATATATAAATAGACATGCAATACTGATTTGAAGATCATTTATTATATGGGAAGAAAACGAGAGTGGAGTTATATGAGAGACACTAGCACAGTATATTGCAGTATGTTGGAAATCAGTTGTCTGGGACAATGGACATTTAAGTCAAGTAAATAAATGACTGCAGGATTTGGCACTGACCAATCACATTGAAATATAGTAGAGTAAATATCTAATAAATATATCCATTCCATTTTCTAGAGCTATAAAACTTCCACAGTAGCCGTACATAGTGCTCTGAATGTAACACTGGATGGTGTGACTGATCTCATGTATCAAGCCTGAACTGGTTAAACTGATCCCGGTAGCAGCTACATACAGCAGAGTTAGTGCCAAACTAATTAAAATTTATCCCTACAAGCTATCTGAATAAATCATCCAGTTATTCCTTCTTCTTACGTTTTATTTAAGCACACTGAATACAATGATAGCATTGATTTAATGTACTCTACTAATCATGGAAGAGTGATGGATGTTTCATTCAGCGTGGTCTCTTTTAAGTTTCTTTTAAGATTCTTACAGCTAGGATTAGGATTTATTTTAATTAAACCCCAAGTAATAAACTACTGGCAAGTCTAGTCAAGTCACCTATGTTTCTATAGCGCTTTATACTATACAAATTGTGTCAAAGCAGCTTCACAGTAATATATAGGAAAATAACAGAATCAATGATGCAAACTTCATCCAATGTGAGAAATTCAAATGTCATTATTCAGTTCAAGTCAGTTCAGTAACTGTGTAAAGTTAATCAATGATATAAATAATTCAGTAAGCAGCTCTACGGAAGACAATAGTGTCATTATTTAGCTGGCGTCAGTTCATTATTGTTTTAATTTAGTTTACTGACATAAAATTTAAAATCATCAATTAAAAAACAAAGGCAATTAATCAATAAAGCAGCTCAACAGAAGACAATAGTGTCATCATCCAGCTCAAATTAGTTCAAATTTCGTTCTCATCCAATAGTGTCAGTACAGTCAAATCAATAATGCAGTATACTGAATATTAAAGGGGTCATATGATGCTATTTTAAAGATCATTATTTTGTGTATTTGGTGTAACAGAATATGTTGACATGCTTTAATGTTCAAAAAACACATTATTTTTCAAATACTGTACATTATTGTAGGTCCTCTATGCCCCACCTCTCTCAAACTCTTAAACCCCAGCAAAATAAAAACCCACGGCGAGAGCGGTAATCACCCAGGCTCAGTCTCATCTGGCCGATTGAATGAACACGGTGGGATTTATGATGTCAGTCAGATTGTGGATTGTGGATTGATATGATTGGATTGATAGTCTTGCCATTTTTTTCATTAATACTGGGACGAGTTGCATAAACATATATTAAAGGGATAGTTCACCCAAAAAAATATTTTTTTTAAATTTGATGTTTATCTGCTTAGATGTAGGTGACTTTGTTTCTTCAGTAGAACACAAACGAAGATTTTTTGCTCAAACCGTTGCAGTCTGTCATTCATATAATGGAAGTGAATGGAAATCACGGCTTTCAGAGTCAAAAAAACATACACAATCAAAACCAAATTAAACCCTCAAATGGACCATTGACACTCCTAATTGAGATTGTAGATAGAGTGTCAATGGTCCATTTGAGAGATAGGTGGCGGTAATGCACTTATAAGTCTGTGATCAATCTTAAAGCAAGAAAAAGGAGATGAAGACGCGTCACGCGCCGGCTGTTGAGAACGCGCTCAGGACAGTTCAGACATTGCAGTTCATCAGAGGTAAAAAACGATATAAATACTGTTCAGTTTCTTGCACAGACCGATCATCTCGTTACATAAAATTAAAATTTTTGGGTGAACTATCCCTTTAAGACCTTGTCTAAAAAACAAGTTTGCGGTAATCAGTCTTCATTTTCAGATTAAATTAAACCAATCTACCTTTTTATGTAACTGAGTTTACAAAGTTATGACCAGTCTTGTATAAAAAAACAAATAGATGACTAACTTTTAAGACTATTCTAAGCAGTTGACACTTGGTCGTATTGGTATTATGTTTTTTTGGTTTTGGTCGTATTGGTTTTGTGTTTTAATAATAAATTGGTATCATTCAAATTTGAAAAGAAAGACTTGGGTAACCGCTAGTTGGTCAAATAGTAAGTAAGACACAGTCTTAATATAATGGCTATGTTTATGCAACTGGCCTTTAGCTTCTTTTGCTAGAAGATTGGGATACGTCACACCGGCATTAGGTGCTAGAAGAGTTGAAGTCTATCCAGCAGGTTGAAAAATCAAGGTAGAGCTGACGTTTAGCCAGTAGTAGATGGCTGGCTTATCAGTGGCCGTAAACATAATGAGACTGAGGTAACTCATCCCACACCATAGGCCTCCTCCCCATGTTAAACATCAGCAAAACCAGTTATAGCAACCCTGAACACAGGTTAATGATAGCTTTCTCTTTAAATTACACAGCTACAGCCAAAATACAGGCAAGGGTAGCATAAGCCTCATTAAGCCATACAACACAAATACAGGTGCATCTCAATAAATTAGAATGTCGTGGAAAAGCCTGTATTATAAAGGCCAGGAACTGCCATCTGACTGACATAAAAAGCAACAAATTACAGTCCTATAAATACTGATCAATTCACAAACAAGTCAAAACAAAGCTGAACATGCAATTCTGCTTATGGATAGCTACCTAGTTTATTTAGTGCCTCGAACAAAACTCTAAATATCTTTCAAAGATTTGGCTCATATTTGGCAAACTTTGGTTCTTTTGTGCATTAATGGTTAATTTGACAAAAGAGCGATCTGTTGTCTGAGCTTTAAAAATAACCGTGGACCTTTCTGTCTCTCACTTTTTTATTGGTCTTATGGAGTATTCTAATTTGTTGAGATAGTGAGTTGGTGGGTTTTTGTTAAATGTGAGCCAAAATCATCACAATTAAAAGAACCAAAGACTTAAACTACTTCAGTATGTGTGCACTGAATTTATTTAATACACGAGTTTCACAATTTGAGTTGAATTACTGAAATAAATGAACTTTTCCACGACATTCTAATTTATTGAGATGCACCTGTACTGTCTTGCCTGTATTATAAAGGCCAGGAACTGCCATCTGACTGACATAAAAAGCAACAAATTACAGTCCTATAAATACTGATCAATTCACAAACAAGTCAAAACAAAGCTGAACATGCAATTCTGCTTATGGATAGCTACCTAGTTTATTTAGTGCCTCGAACAAAACTCTAAATATCTTTCAAAGATTTGGCTCATATTTGGCAAACTTTGGTTCTTTTGTGCATTAATGGTTAATTTGACAAAAGAGCGATCTGTTGTCTGAGCTTTAAAATAACCGTGAACCTTTCTGTCTCTCACTTTCTCTCTAGCTCAGAATGGCACAAAGCATCAGATGACTTTTAACGTGTCAGAGATGAAGCAGAGTATTCCAGACCACCGGCTGCTGTCTCAAGCCGAGTTACGGCTTCGGATTAAGAATCCTACAATGGACCAGGAGCAGAGACTGGAGCTGTATCGTGGAACGGGCAATCAGGCTCGATATCTGGGCACTCGCTTTGTCTCCAAGGATTTGTCCAATCGTTGGCTCTCGTTTGACGTGAAACAGACGATGATAGAATGGCTGCAGGGTTCAGGTAAGGTCATGGCAGCATTCAACTAACATCAGCTGTAGTTTCCCAATTGCGATTGATGAGTGTATTTGAGATGTGCTCATAAGAATATATTCCCAAATTATGTTCCACATAATCTGTTTGGTTAAAACAGTCTAACTTTTCTCAGGCATCTACTTAATGTTGTGATAACCCAAAACCTCAGTGAGACAATAATGCAGTATTTTGTTATTGGCGCTGAAATGAGAACAAATAAGAACTTGCAGACCACAGTACTTAAAAGAGCATAATAATCATGATGGTACATGTTATACTTAATAAACAAGGAACTAGAGGCTTTGCAATATTATGAATATCGTCATAAGCACCAGAATTTGGATGAAATGTTACTTGTACTAAAATATATGTTAGACAAGTGAGCAAATCTGTTTTATTAGTGGTGTTTGCTAAAGCATTATTATTACTATTTTGCATACTTATGATTAGGATTTGAATAAATCTGTAACACTAAGCATTAAATGTTGACATATAATTAATTTTGCATTCTTTGTGCAACAGACATGAATAATTCTTGAAACTCTATTGGGAGGTGTACTGTTACTTTACTTATAAGTGTTTGGATCTGGCGCATAAAAATTATTGAAGGAACAGCACGATCTTATTCATAATGTCATGATTTGTGGGTGGGCTTTTTCCAGAACACTATAATTATAACAAACAATTTTTTGCACAAACAAACACCACTTACATTCAGAAAAACTCTAGCAGTAACTTTGGCAATTTTAGTATGTTTATTCTGGGAATTACAAATATTGTAGTTAATCAGAGTCATAACCTTGTGGGCAGCCACTTTCAAATAAGTCATTTTCACAAAACTTTTAAATGTCTTTTAACCTGTTAACTGCTTGGCTCTCTTTTTATATTGCCTTTTCCCCATCACATATATTAGTAATTAGTTGCCATTTGAAAGATTAAACTCTCAAAATGTATCCTGTGAAAACTGTTTTGAAATCGGATTTTGCTTTACCATGGAAATGCTATTTTAAATCCTTTTAGTGGGCCCCTCCCCCTAGTGGGCGGTGTCAAGTGTCATATTACAAAATGTGCTATAATATTTTATAATCAAAACTTTCTAATCTTTACAAAACATATTGTTGGAAAGGTCTGAATCTCAATGTTTCATATTTTGTGGGTTGTTTATTTATTTATTTTAATATTAGTAATATTGTAACAGAAATTTATACATTTCTGACAGGAAAATGCATACAAAAAATTCAGTGGAGTTTATGTGTCAGCCAGTGGCTATTTTGGTATAGCACCTAACCAAAATCTAATTTTTAGATTTTTGTGATATCAACTTCAAATTTGGAGCATAACTTAGTAAGACATATGGCTTTTACTTTTTATCAGTTTTAGATTCCAAAATATTTTGTGTAGTATTTATTTTATATAACATAAAGTACATTTTCTTTATAGTAAACCTAAACTTTTATAACGTTTTTACATGTTATATCTTTCACCTCACCAATAATCTTCTTTAAAAAGAGACCAACCTTAGGTCTGTATTCCAAAGCATTCAATTACAACAGTTTAAGGTTTAAGTTCAGAGAGCGCATTTTTACATCCATGTTTAAAAAGGGTTAAGAAGTTAAAGATTTTTTTTTTTTACTTGCTCCTCTGAAGTGCTTATTATTGCGGTTCTGGAACTTGTCTTTTGGAAGACTGTTCTGAAAAACAGCTTTGTTTCTTGGCAGACTGTTAAAGATAGACGCATACTAGTCTCCCTGAAATCCTGTAAAAGTCAGCCAATTAGAAAGTGTCTTCATTTTAGTGTGCCGTATGCATCAGACAGTTAGCTAACAGAGTGTGGGCTTTCTGACATCTGAGACTGAGATGAATAATTTCCTGTCTCCTACTGTGATGTCTAATAAAGGTGCAAACGTTCAAAAACAGAAAAGTAGTCAGGGTTACTTTAATTTAACCATTATAATCCAGAATTATGAATTTATATGTGACTACAGTCTTACTCGAAATACCACGGTTAAACTATGGCCACCATTTACAGAAGTGTAGTAAATTTGGAAAGCTAAACTATGTGCCTATAAGTAAGGACTGTTAGCTTCCTTTCCTTCATTTAAAAGATTAACTGGCTGACTGATTTTAAAGATTAAAACTGGCTGAAACAACTATATTATTCATTCTGAATGGACTTGATTAGTATGTGACCCACTTTTATGTGCTCATTTATTTCTATCTTTGATGTTAGTGCATGTGTTAAATGGCTTATACAGTGCAAAACCCAAATAAACTTGTGTGTGTTTAACAGAAGAGGAAGAAAGTTTAGACCTGAGGTTATACTGTGGCTGTAAGACAGACCAGCAGAGTACTGATAAATTCCTCTTCAGTATATCAGGTATGATAATCTCAATAATCTGAAACATAGTGCTGGAAATGTATGCCAAAATAATCCAAACTGATATAATCTTTGATATAATCTTTTTCTCTGTGTACTGTAACTGTGTATTTTCAGGACTAGACAAGCAGAGAGGTGACACTGCTGGTCTGGCAGAGATGATGGCAAAGCCTTATATTCTGGCTTTATCTTTGCCTTCTAATGGCAAATCCCTTGCATCCGCTCGCAGGAAACGAGCTGTTGGCACTGATGAAACTTGTGATGAGTGAGTCTGTTTGCTCTCTTTCACTTGTTATGTTTTGTTTATAGATACAGTATAGGAGTACAGATAACAAATACTTATACTCTTCTCATTTGGACCAAATTTGAATATCCTTTATATTGTGACATTGTTAAATTCTTGATTCTGATTGGCAGTGCTGGTTCTGGACTTCTGGGGGTCCTAAGCACAACTTTGTCAGGCGGCCCCTGTCAGTGCATTCATAAAACCTCCAAAATGACCCCTTAATCTCTTCTTTCATAGCAGTTTCACTGTTAGATTAAAATAATAATAATAATAATAAAATAAAAAAATTACAAACAATATGACAAATTTAATAGAAAAAAGATACAAATGAAATAATTTAGCCTACTAAAAATAATAGCCTACCTTACAGAAATTGAATGATGTAATACAAATATATTAAATATACATTGATTGTTATACCTGATTGTCAGGTTTATTAGGCTGCTGTCACTTTAAGACAATGCATAGCTCTAATATACAGACAAGCATTCGATTACTTTACCAACTATTAATGTTCACCTAAGACATAACTGATTGCATTTAAGTAAGCACTCACCAAAATGGAGCTTTGGCATATTTTTGGTGGACTGCAGCACAGAAATCAATCATAATAAAATTATGCATGGAAATTCCAGCAGGGAAAAAAAATGAATAGGGCAGCTGTAATTCAGTAATTCACCATCAAGTATTTCTATATCTAAAACTGAGGTGTAAAAATGTAATGCAAGTAGGCACCACTGAACACACAATAAGATAATTAGACTCACTCTTTCCCAACATTCTCTTGCAGAAAAACTGAGACCTGCTGTATGCGGAAGCTTTACATTGACTTTCGGAAAGATCTGGGTTGGAAGTGGATCCACAAGCCGAAGGGATACTTTGCCAACTACTGCATGGGCTCCTGTACCTACATCTGGAATGCTGAGAACAAATACTCTCAGGTAGGGTGCTGTCCCATTTGACCAGTGAAGCTGACACTGTATGTATTTAAAAGCATGTACTTCACCAGTGACTGCGTAACAAAAGCTACAGTATGCCTGCACATGCTCCTTGCTGGTTTTCTTCACCTGGACAAAGGCGTATTCCAATATTAGCCTAAAATCACACACAGGAACACTTTCCCAGAACCTTTATGGGTTAATATTTTGAACATGATTTGGGATGCACTATTTCTGATCTGTTTACAATTTAGTACAAAAAACATCACATTTAGGCCGCATTTCGATTACATGGTTCAAGTGACCCACTTCTGTTTTGTTTTGTTTTTTTCCTCCCATGTGGCACAGATCGAATGACCTACGAACGTGTATGCAGGAAAAAAGCACATGGATTCCAATATTCTCGGATCACTTTCAGGCCTTATTCATATGTGGAAATAAATCTGATATGAATTCGATATGTGCATTTGCATCTGCCATGTAAGCGCACTGATCGGATATTCCCATTAATCGTACATCATTGAAAAAGCGAAGGTGGCGAATGACGTCAACTGTGGTGGACGCTTTCCGGGCAATGTTGCCAAGTCCACAGTTTTCCAGTGGAATTGGGCTACTTTTACACTAGTTGCGATTCTGTTACCCTTCAAATTGCACAAATTGGAAACACGTCAATTTCGCCAAACTCCCATATATCGCAAAAAAGTTTTTGCGCTCACATGAGGTGGTTTTTCAGGCAATGCGAAAAATAAATATTATATATTTTTTTTGTATTTACAACTAACTTAGCATACGTAAAAGTCACATGATCATTCTTGAATGCACTATAACCTCCAAAAAACACCTCATACGTAGCCGCTCTCAAGTTTTTTAGACCGCAGGTTAAATCGATTTCTCCCCCAACCATGGATTGTTTTGCCAAGTGTATAGTGTAAATGCAGATATCGGATATAGGTCACTTTTAAAAGAAAATATAAGCTAGTCATCAGAAAAAAATCGGCTACAGTCTAGAAAGTGGAATTAGGCATCAAGAACTGCAGTGTAAATGCGGCCTTAAATTTTCTGCCTGCAATATTTGCTTTGCTCTGGTTGGTTCTTGTCATTTCTTGAGCAAGGATACACAACACCATCCTAAGAAACGGATGACAGATTTCTTTGAGTTGGAATCTATATAATAACAGTGTTGCACCTGTGGCTGTGTACAGTACATTAGTTCATTTTCAATGCAGAGGTACAGTATTATCCAGAGGGGCATTTGCGGAGGATAGAGAAAAGTGCAAAAGTTTGCAAAAACAAGGTTTGAATGACTAGTTACCCCCAGGGCTGAAATGTCATACATTTTATGTCATTACATCTTGAATTATAACAGTGATGTTTCTCTTTTTAGCTTTTTGAGTTGTACCTATGCAAGCTTCAAATTTCACCACCTTTAAGAATTCACAATACGTTTTTTTTTTATGCCCATAATATGGAGGTAAAAAAAATCCACTTTCATTGTATGGGCAAAAACACTGAAACATTTCACAGAATATCTTTCTTTGTGTTCTATGGAAGAATTAAAAAAACTGATACAGGTTTGGAAATGCATGAGGGAAAGTATATGATGACAGGGTTTTCCTTTTTGGGTAAACTTTCTCCTTCACAGCAGTGCAGTACTTTAGTTCATTTACAATGCAGATAGTATCCAGATGGACATGTGAGGTACTTAGAAGGCAAGATCAGTGTAACGACTGCTGTGAATCAAAGCGTGATCAAATTGATCTGAATAATGACTCTTTATGTTTGTCTTTTTTTGAGTTGCTTTACAGGTGAACTGAATTATTTTTGCATCAAAACATGTTGTTTAAAGTGCTATATAAATAAAGGTCACTTGACTTAACAAAACACAAACAATTAAATAGACATACAGTTTGCCTTTAGAACGCTTACAGAATGCTGCCATACTCGTCCTGAACTGAGTACTACAGTCTTTCACCAAACCAACATCTCACATCTGATGAGTCACTGAGGAGGATTTTCATAATCTAGGGAAACTTTTGACATTATTTGGCAGAGTTAAAGATTGAAAGTGACATCCCAGGATAGATAAATGGATTCCTAAGGTCAGGCGTGTTATTAATTCTAGCTTTGTGACACATGCTGTACAGTATGGTCAACTGAGGTTATGAAATTCTACACTGAACAAAATTATAAACGCAACACTTTTGTTTTTGCCCCCATTTTTCATGAGCTGAACTCCAAGATCTAAGACTTTTTCTATGTACACAAAAGGCCTATTTGTCTCAAATATTGTTCACAAATCTGTTTAAATCTGTGTTAGTGAGCACTTCTCCTTTGCCGAGATAATCCATCCACCTCACAGGTGTGGCATATCAAGATGCTGATTAGACAGCATGATTATTGCACAGGTGTGCCTTAGGCTCACATTTTAGAGTGGCCTTTTATTGTGGCCAGCCTAAGGCACACCTGTGCAATGATCATGCTGTCTAATCAGCATCTTGCTATGCCACACCTGTGAGGTGGATGGATTATCTCGGCAAAGGAGAAGTGCTCACTAACACAGATTTAGACAGATTTGTGAACAATATTTGAGAGAAATAGGCCTTTTGTGTACATAGAAAAAGTCTTAGATCTTTGAGTTCAGCTCATGAAAAATGGGGGCAAAAACAAAAGTGTTGCGTTTATAATTTTGTTCAGTGTATTTTGAAAAGTTATCTTGACATACATGTTTAGCATTGATTCATATTATTGTAAAATCTATTTGATTTAAAGTATTTTGCTTACATTTTTTTAATGATTTTTGTATAGAAATATAAATAGTTTTAAGATTTGCGCAAGTTGGACTAGATAGTGACAGAAAAGCAGTCAACATGCATCAATACTGTTTAAAAAGCCATAAAGATGCACTCCATGAAGTTGTTTGAGAGAATGCCAAGAGTGTCCAGAGCTGGAAAAACTATGGACTGCTAATTTGAGCTACAATTTAGGATAATTTTGTCATTTATGAATGTTATTTTGGTCACTACATTGTAAATTCTTAAAGAGCAATAGTTAGCAGGGGATTATAAGAAATTGTATAATTTGTATAATGAATATTTTAATATTTAAGTGAATCCGATTAACAGAATAAATTCATGCACAACATTTAAACTGTCTATCTTTTCTAATGAGTGTTACACCAGTGTTTCATGGTGCAATTTTACACTGTTTACCATTTTTTTATGTTCAAATTTTCTACCAAGTACGCAACTAAACTCATGATTAAAATACACCATAATGTAACTTTCAGCCATCCGTTATCATGTGCAAATCACTCTATGCTCTATATTTGATCAGGGGTCTCAAAACAGTTTGCTCTTATGAACACTTGTTTTGCAGTGCTTCACTGTTTCATTGCGGCATCAAATGGTATGTGTATTTGTGTCTCATAGATATTAGCCTTGTACAAACACCACAACCCTGGTGCATCGGCTCAGCCATGCTGCGTACCTGCAGTCCTCGACTCTCTGCCGATTCTGTTCTACGTGGGAAGACAACACAAGGTAAATGCCTCTTTCTGACTATTTTAATTGCTTCTCAGCTTCCTGCATATAGGCTAATAGATATCCCAGAACTGGTGTCAGTGTACTTTTAAGGCAGGCAAGGCACAAATAGTGTGTTCTTTGGAGTGAGAGAAATGGAAAGTACTTAATGTTATGCACAAAAAAATATCTGTATCTCCCCAGTCTCTTAAAATGGTCATTTTCGCCTGAATTAATTAATGTGAATGAGTCATTTTGTCTTGGCTCTGTTTCTAGGTGGAGCAGTTGTCCAACATGGTGGTGAGGAGCTGCAAGTGCAGTTAGAGTTCATCTGACTGCATAACGTTATGTTATCTTCAGAAGTGCTCCGTGGCTTTGTTTCTCTCTGGACGATAAGTAAGCAAATGCACAGAGAGATAGACGTAAAGTCTCAGTGGGAAGGAAAATCAGGAGCTGAGACAACTGACGTGGACAGGAGAAAGGAGAAGGGACAGTTGGGCAAAAGTGGAAAGAGGGAAAAAGAAACTATCAGACTTTCTCAGCGATGCCCCTCTACAATGACACACAAAGACATTTCGTTAAAGCAAGCTCAATATTAAACCAAGTATATGCTTTATCTTTTTTTAAAAATGTTTATTTACATTATTAATTCCCATTAATTTATTATGCCTTCTAAGTTCATAATTTGATTGTACCATGAAGGCAGCCGCGTAGCATTGCATGCCACATGTACAATGAAGATTTCTAATGGTGCTGAACTGATCAAGGAAATCATGTCCAAGGAACATTTCAATTAAACGTAAACACATAAAAGAGAAGTGTTTGCACTAAACGATGGAAGCGAAGGCTCATGACGTGCAGTATGAGACTTACAAGAAAGCTAATGGGATTGGAGCATGGGTCAATGAACTGCTTTATTAATTTTTTTTTATGTGCACAGTAGGTTTTATTGTCATGCACAGCTGTGCTCTGAAGCCTCTTTCTGTGAACAGGGTCTGAGTGGAACACTAGAGGAATAGGATTGAATGGTGAACATTTCAAACTTCATATTGCACACTACTGAGTGTCACGGGAAAATGTCTGCCTCTTCAGGTCCTCCTGTTGTCAGGGTTTGTTAGTTCTCAAAAATATCTACAGCTTTGCTAAAGGAATGCATTGGTCAATCTCAGCAAAACATGTCTGGGACACATTTCACATTTATGAAATAAAATTATTTCTCACAAAGAAGGTGAATCTTATTTTTAGGACCATTAAGATTGTTTGCATTGTGTGATTTCCTGTGTCACAATTCGTAATGTATCTATTCAATTCAGTTATTATTGTTTTACAGTAAAGGGACAGACAGTACAACAAATACATACATGATCTATAAATACGTATATTAAATTATTAAATTAATGAATCGTTTTTATTACGCTAACAAGAATGTGCTCAGTTGTCAAAATGCAAAGAATCTGCTCCTAAAAACAGGCTTAATTTTCTTGCAAAATGTACTTTATTATGTTTTTTTCTGCTTTTTCTGAGGTGAAATTTCAGCCATGTTTGTGCAAGTGATGTGTTTGTGTTAGCGAGTCTGTATCTATGCGTGTGTATGTTTGCTGTGTGGTGTTCAGCTGTGTTGGCCTTGTGCTGACATCTTCATGAGGAACATTAGTGTGTATATTTATAGAGGCTTCGTGTTTTTCTCTGCCCTGTTTGACATCGGCGGTGTTGAGTAATGAGAATTGTGTTCTGTGTATTAGTTTAAAAACAACACGGCTGAGAATGCACTGTTCGCAAAATGAATGCAGTGTCACTCTTCAATGAAAAATACTGGCTAGTTACTGTAAAACTACCGTCCTTTGTAGATACTGTCCTCTTTGTTATACTTTGACATTTTTAAATTGCTACAGAATTCCTTTGACAAACATTTCACATCCATGCAGTGTTTTATTATATAATTACATTTCCTTTTTTTGCACTTATTTTATGCCATTGTGACACATGAATTGTTTCAATAAACAAAACTCACAATTCAGTCCACAATATCTAACGGAAAGACAGATTGTTATGCACAAATTCAAATACTGTACTGTGAAATAATGTACCGTACTACATGAAATACTGTAGTACAGTAAAGAATCCTGTCCAAACGTTAACTAGAGGAGAAAGGGGAATGTTTGAAACACGTGAACACCTTTTGTTATATAACATTCCCACATTTAGCCTTTACAAAGCAGTTTGGCAACAAAAAGCAGTTTCAATCAGTTTAGAAGTCTACATAAGCTGTATATATTAGTGTTAAATACAAGTAGGCCTACTGTAGGTGGAGTAATGGAGTTACAGCTCCTTTTCTACAGCAAATTGTGCTTTACAAACAACTGTACTTAAAAAAAATATATATATACATATAATTTATTAATGTATAAAAATATTCATATTAAAAATATAATTATAGGAAAAGGGCATATCTTCATATCAGCATTTTTTATATCTAATATATGTTTTATAATATATGTATGTTATCACATACATATATTATTATATTATATTGTATGTTATTATATGTTCATATAATACATGTTTTAGCGGGGTCATGGCATATCAAATTTTCCTTGATCTTTTGACATACAGCTCTGGAAACATTTAAGAGACCACTGCCAAATTATAGGTTTCTCTGGTTTTACTATTTTGTGTTTGAGTAAAATAAACATAGTTTTATTTCATTCTATAAACTACTGACAACATTTCCCCAAATTCAAAATAAACATATTGTCATTTAAAACATGTATTTGCAGAAAATGACAACTGGTCAAAATAACAAAAAAAGATGCAGCATTTCCAGACCTCAAATAATGCAAAGAAAACAAGTTCATATTCATTTTTGAACAGCACATGTTTTAACTTAGAAAGAGTTCTGTCATGACAACTCTCGGAGGGATTGGCATGGTAATGTACATGACAATGTTAATGTATTTGGTCTTGGCGGAATAGATCTGCTACGCTGCTGCGGCAGAGCAAGTACTGAGACTTGCTGCCAATGCATCCACAACATGCTGCTGTGAGCATGTAAGAAATACTGCTGCTGCACATATAACATACATGAAATAACCCCCCATATAGCATACATGAATCACCTCATAGCAGATGTATACAGGTGGAGCTGGGGAAGGTGAAGGGTTTCTGAAGCACTCTGCAAACTGCTACAGCAAGCACTAGTCATATTTTTGAATGTTGAGCAGCGAGCTCATTGGCTACTGATACAGGAGAGAACCAATCAGCTGTGCCATGTGATAATGATGTCATTAGGTCAGATTGAGTTAGACCTATCGGACTGCGCCATCTAGAGTTTCATACCAGAACTCTGCATTTCAGAAATCAATATTTGGTGGAATAACCCTGATTTTCAATCACAACTTTCATGTGTCTTGGCATGCTCTTCACCAGTCTTTCACATTGCTGTTGGGTGACTTTATAGTCTAACACTCCTGGTGCAAAAATTCAAGCAGCTCGGCTTTGTTTGATGGCTTGTGACCATCCATCTTCCTCTTGATCACATTCCAGAGGTTTTCAATGGGGTTCAGGTCTAAAGATTGGGCTGCCTATGACAGGGTCTTGACCTGGTGGTCCTCCATCCACACCTTGATTGACCTGTGTGGCACAGAGCATTGTCCTGCCTGATTCAAGTCTTACTGAAGTACCCCAGATCATCACCGATCCTCCACCAAATTTCACAGTGTGTGTGAGACACTGTGGCTTGTAGGCCTCTCCAGGTCTCTTGCCTAACTATTAGATGACCAGGTTTGGGCAAAGCTGAAAATTGGACTCATAAGGTCCAATCCTTATGGTGTTTTGCAAACCTCAGCCTGGCTCTTCTTTGCTTCTCATTGATGAGTTTTTTAAATTTTTTTGTAGCTTTGCCCTGCCCCTAGGAGCCTGTTTCGAACCGTCTTTGCCATGCACTTCACCCCAGCTGCCATTTGCCATTCTTTTTGTAGGTCACTTGATGTTGGCGGTCATCCCTGTCAGTGGAGAGTTGTTTTCGCCCTCTGCCGGACTGTAGCTTTGTTGTCTCTAATGTCTGCAGGCTGACCTTGTTCTTACCGCTGTCTTTGAAATTTTAAGGATGGACGCAGCCTTAATCTCAGTGTTTCCCAAGCACATTCACTGGCTTGATGAAATGACTGAACCAATCGTTAATCGATAAAGGCACTACGTCACTGCAGCTCTCAACTTTCGTGCACATGCCCATTGGCTCGTCTAGCCTGAAAAATAAGCTTTTTAATGCTATTTGAGCATAAGAAACAACATTTACGAGACAGTTGTTGTCAGATTTCATTTGTGTTTACAAATATGAAATTTAAGTTTGGCGAACAGCTTTGGAGAATTTGATTTGTTTTGTTTCAAAGAGTTAGGAGCTGTACTTGCATGACTGAAATGACTGCCAGAGAGGCATTTCAAAGATGGCCGCAGAGTGAAATGACTTGCCTTAAAGGTGCAGTAGGTGATTGTCTTCAGAAACATTTTTTGTTATGCTGGTTGAAAGTCTCTTCACATCCCGATAGCAATCATTAAGTTAAGTGGTCTAAATGTATTTTTTATGTATTTATATATTCTGTGTAAGTCGTAGGACCAAGAAATGTTTGTCCAATCAAAACGCTCAGTCCGAGCGTTTTAATTGGCTTTCCTACCTGCCTGTCAACATGTGTATTTGCAAACCTCTGCGCACCCTGTTTGCGCAGACGGGATACGTCATCACCGCGTTCATGCACACTGTGCAGACAGAGCAAGAATGGCAGACAAACATCAACAAGCCGATCTTCCTTCATGGTATTGTAGTACTTTTACTAACTGTTTAGTTAACTGTAAAACTAAAGTTTTCTCACCGGTGAATGACACATGATGTAGCCCAGTGGTTCCCAATTCCAGTCCTCGCGCAGGGGAAGCAGGGTGAAATCCACTGAAGTTTACTTCACTTCGGAACATTCATTCACGGATTTGCGCTGTGCAGCGTCTTCACACACAGACGAAACTTACTAGAGAAGTGTGACATAATATACCTCTGTAAATAAATACTATTTAAATTCCCGTCTCGCACACTTTAATGCCCTTTGTATGGAACATATAAGCTCGCTTCGAACTGGAATCATGGCGGAATATCCGGTGATGTACACTTCCCAGGGCACTTACGGTTGAATAGAACAAACGTCGCACATGATAAGAGATACATATGAAATGTGGAGAGCAGGAGGGTGCGAGGACTGTAATTGGGAACCGCTGATGTAGCCTATTGTAATGTTGTATCTGGTATTGTGGTCTGTCAGCGTATATGCGTTCAGGGGGCGTGGCTTTGGATGGTGATTGCAGGGAGGGTGGGACGTTTGCTTTCAGTGCTATCAGGCTAAAGTTAGCATTTTCCAAGATCCCCTACTGCACATTTAAAAGGACTTAAAAGGAAAAAGAGAATTGCATCACTCCCGTAGACTTCCACGAGAATGTGAAAGTAGCATGCATTGGGGCAAACAATAGTTTCAAACCCTGAATAGTTTCAGAGCTAAACCCCAATAATTCCAGTGTTTCCAAAGCACCCTGTCAAGTTGAAAATGTATCTCATATATATCTGTTTGTGTGTGTGTGTGTGTGTGTGTGTGTGCAAAAAACAAGGAACATATTAAAGGTAATAAGAAAAATCCATGGCATGACCCCTTTAATGCTAACTCTATGGTCCTTCTCTGTTTTCTTTTGTTGTCGTTTCCTTTTTACTTTGTCCTTTCTCCACTTCCCTCTGGGAATTACTGACATGTGGTTGCTCAGGCTTTGGAAACGACTGATGCATGTCCAGACCCGCTCTTAAAACTTGTAGTTATGACTCTATGGAAAAGTTCACAAATACACACGCTGACGAGCCTCACACCACAACATCCATGCAAGCCTTTACATAAGTTGTATGCAGACTGCAATGGCTAAAAGCTTCGATCACCTACTACACTGTTTTGTTTCAAAACATTCTAACATTTTTTCAAACTCCTGTCATCAAACTCTGGCTCTAAAGCATCCTCACACAAATGCTTCTCTCCAAACACCATCAGTATTGTTTCATTGCCACCCCTTGAGGTTTTTAACAAGCACGCATTAACCAAACCGTTAGTTTCTGTCTTTGCCAAGGCACAGAATGTGCTGGCAGAGCCCGACAGAGCTTTGAACAACTTTCAAGTCAACATGAAATCAAAGCGACTGAGGACAAAGGCAGAGCTGGCGGGAGGAAGGAGCCCAATAGAGCCAGTGGGACGAAGCAACAAGGTGCAGCCCGAGGAGTGGAGTCCTGAGGCGATGACGGGTCAACGCCCGACCAAGGTGGAGCCGGAGGGACGAGGGAGCCCGGTGGAGCTGGTGGATCGACGGGTGACGGTGGAGGTGAGGGAGCTAGGAGCCGAGGTGGAGCCGCTGGGTCTACGGGCCTCGGATGCGGAGGTGAGGGATTCTCCAGCCATGGCGACGATGGAGGATGGCAGACCCGCGGAACTCGCACCGTATTTTATGGTGGGCTGAGGGCGAGCAGAGGGGCTGCCAGACGACAGCGGTGGAGGAGGCAGGAGCGGATGGGAGGGTGGGCATTTGTGAGCCTCCGGGCATTCAGGGCTAAACTCTGGATCGGGAGCCGCACGCGGTGTTCAGGCTGGCGTCATAGAACGTGTCGTCCGGTTAGCTGGTGAGTGAGCCAGAAACTCCCTGAGCGAGCACTCCCCCTGCTCCAGCAGGAGGAGGAGGTATTCGGTGCGAAGGAGGGGATCCATTAGGGCACACCACGGAAACAAAAACACAGAGTAAAACGAGAAAACACGGAGGTAACTGTATTCGGTCGGGTCTTCTGTCACGTTACGCTGCCGGAAGGAACACGGAGCCGTGGATAATCGAAAGAGTCTTTATTAATCCAACACAGGGGGTAAATCCAACATAGGGAACAGGAGATAGACACACATACATCACTGGTAGACAAATTGGTTAGTACCAAATACTAACTGCACAGACTAGGACTTATAAACACAGGGCA